GAGTTCTTACCTCTACCAATGCTCAGACCAAGGCGGGGTGATCCTGTCTTCAGACTGCCTCCTCAGACTGCCTGCTCAGACTGCATTGAGCTCCTACCTCCTCCTGCCTTATCTTCTTCTCTCCTCCCAGCCATGTTGCCTCCTGTCTCCACCTCCTTAGTGCTGGGATTAAAGGCGAGTGACTCCAAAGTACTGAGAGTAAAGGTGTGTGCTACCACAGCCTGGACTCTATGGCCAGCTAGTGTGGCTAGCTCTATACTCTGATCTTCAGGCAAGCTTTGTTAGATCATAAACAAAATATTGCCACATTCCAGCCTCTTAACTTTTGACGTTAACAGTCAAAATACGTCTCTTGTAGATATGATATAGTTAGGTCTTTTTTCTCCCTCCAGTCTCCTAGTTGTTTGTCTACTGCTTAATTGGAACATTTATGTAGTCTCTATATTTAATGTACTTAATGATTATTACACAGATGATTCAGTTTTTTTGAGGATTAGTATCTGCAAAAACAAAACCAAAACAAAGAAGATTGGTTTGTAACCCTGCGCCAGTATTTTTGAAGTCCTTTTGTTACCTATGTTCCCAGATGAAGTCGAATAAAAGCCACTTTCCGACTTCCCACCTCAGTTCTTACTCCGCAAAGAGTAGCCTTCCCTCTACGCCGTGATGTAGTGTTCCCAGTTTATACCTGCCTCTATTTTTCTTTGAGATAGTGTCTCACAATACAGCCTAGGTGACCTTGTGAGGCTTGTGATCCTTCCACTTCAACTTCCTGGCTGCTGGGGTTGCAGGCATGGCCACCACACCTGGCCTACAGTGTGTACCTTTTTTGGTAGTGACTTGCTGTTCAGAATGACTCCCAGCTTTAGTGTAGAGGTCTGCTATAGTGTTCCTGAGTGAAAGAAGATGTGATGTGCCTTGTGGAAAAATATTTCTATAAATGGAGAAAGAAAGAAAAACTAGGAGATAAACAGAAAAATAATAAATTATATCTCACTATTCACAGAAGTTATGCTTCTGGTTACACCTTATATGCTCACTATTTTCTGTTTTCTTTATAATATTTCTCATTGTATTACTTCTTTATATAATTAAATATTTTGATTATGTAATTTATATAAATAGATAGCTTAGTTATATAATATGACCAGCATATAATACATAGTTAATAAATCAGTTATATAATTAAATATTAGAATATTTCTCTTTATATTACTGTTATTTTATATTCTCTCTTTGTCTTCTTCTTGGCCTCTCTTATTCCTCAGTGGAGTGCGTGTGTGTGTGTGTGTGTGTGTGTGTGTGTGTGTGTGTGTGTGTTTCTGGGCAGTAATATCTTTACTTCATCTTCATTCTTAAAGAGTAATCTTGAAGCTAGGTGGTGGTGGCACATGCCTTTAATCCTAGCACTTGGGAGGCAGAGGCAGGCAAATCTCTGTGAGTTTGAGGTCAGCCTCATCAACAGATCTGGTTCCAGGACAACAGGCTCCAAAAGCTACAAAGAAACCCTGTCTCAAAAAAAAAAAAAAAAAAAAAAAAAGAGTAATTTTGATGGATATACAATGCTGTTTGACATCTCATTTTGTGTGTACACTGAGGATAGCACCATGCTGTCACCAGGCTTTTCATACTGCTCGTGGATCCAATTGTAGTGATCACCTGTCTTTCTGGCGATTTTTGTTTTAATTTTGGTTTTTCAAGACAGGGTTTCTCTGTGTTGCCTTGGAGCCTGTCCTTTCTTTGTGTTTATTTTGAAATTTATTACAGCATGTGTAAAGTTCCTTGTATTTATACTGCTTTGTGTGTATAGTGATTCATTAATCTAGATTGAAATCTTTCATTTGTTTTTATTTTTAAAATTAAAAATCTTATTGTATGTATATGAGTATTTTACCAGCATGTATATTTGTGCACCATTTGAATGCTTGGTGCCCATGGAGGCTAGAAGAAGGCATTGGATCCTCTGGGGCTGGAGTTACAGATGGTTGCTAGCTGCCTTTTCCAGGAATTGAACCTGGTTCTTTGGAAAAGCAACCAGTGTTCTCTACTGCTGGGCTAGCTTTCTAGCCCCTTAGATTTTTTTGGAAAATGCTCACCTTTTATCTCCTCATATGTAACTTAAGTTCTCTGTTTCCTCTGGGACCCAAATAGTCTTCAGGTAGGCCATGCTATTTTATTCTTGTCTGCTTATCTCTCTCTAATAATTTTCATTTCCTAATGATTAAAAAATTCATCTGTGGCATAAATTTAGTCGACTTTTAGCTATGTTTAATCTGCTGTTTTATTCTTTTGGCTTTGTTGTAATCATTCTTACTAATTTCTAGAACTAGTGTTTTATTCACTTTAAAAATTATTTTTATTTTGTGTGTGTTCATGTATGCCACATCACATATGTGGAGGTCAGAGGACACCCTGTGGGAGTCAGTTCTCTCCTTCCGTCCCTGTGGATTTGGGGAATGGAACTCCAATCATTAGGCTTGGTGTCAGGTACCTTAACTTACTGGTATCTATTCTTTTTCAAGCTGCCTGTTTTTGTTGTTTCTCATTTAATAGTTCCTTTTAATGTAAATGTTTAATATCTCTGAGAATTGTATGTTCTGAGAAAAGGGCAAGAATGGTGTATGTAGTTTGTGTTTCGAATGACCCTTCTCATAGAGATCTCTCTTTCAATGTGGTAGCTTTTATGGTCGCCCCCCACCCTCCCAGACTTAATCTATAATCATCTAAATGACTTCAAATAGAGACTATTTGAATTCTGCCAGAAAGTCAAGAGCACTTTTGTTATGGGTAAAATTAACCACTTAGCAGAGTTCTAGTCCTGGAGTTTGTCATGTTCTTCCCATGGCCTCCTGAGCAAGGCCACCCTTAAGTACTTATTGTCACATTTACCAGTTATCTTTTTAATTCTAACTTCACCTTAACCCTCAAGGCTTTTGAGCTGCTCCTCCTTGCCAGTTCCTCCTTTTGTTGGAGTTCTGTGATTAAAAACTACCTGACCCTGGCTTCCCTGCCAACTTGGAATTCAGTACTCATGCTATCTGTAAGTCAGTACCTGGCTGCGGTGACTTTTCAGCTTTAAAATTCAGTGTTCTGGGTTCTCCTTCACACTTTCCTATGTGGTTTTATGTACTGTATTTGTGGAAAGGGTTAGGGATAAACACATCTTCAATTTACCATTTCTTTCAGAAGTTTCGTATTGTTTTTTAAATTCTGAATTAACTGCTAGTGATATCAGAGATGACGGTTGCCCTATTTTACAAATTAGGTATCATGCCTGTGGAACCAGTTCATAGAAATAAATGGCTCATTAGTGTTATTTCAGTTCTCCAGACAAGAATGACATTATGACTGATAATAGAACTTATTAGTTTTGAATTTAAATTCAGATTAGCTGAATCAGACTGTGTCTTAACAGTTCCTGGCTAAGTGTTCAAAGTACAGTGCACTGTAATACTCAGGTGATGGTCAGTGGAGGCAGATTACCTAACATGTAGAAAAAACAAGGCTGGGTCATAGCTGCTGTGACCAGGAAGTCCTCCTGTCAGCAGCTTCAGGGTTAACACTGTGGAGCCTAGCCTGGAGAGCTGTGAATTCTGTGCCACAGCCTAGAACAGATGAGGAATATCCAAGAAACCTTGCCCATTGCAGGTGTATTGGCATGCAATACATTGGTGTTGTGGTAAAACCACTTGTGAATCTCACAACTCCGTGGATGGCTACACCAGCTTCTGTGCTGCAAGGTAACTTTAAACAATTACCCAGTATCCCTCCCTCCAGAGCTCAGATAACATCACAGAAGAGGGGCAGTAAGGAAAGCAGAAGATGGAGAGAAGCGTGGTGGCCATTGCACTGGCACACTCACTGCAGTTGTACAAGACCAACACAGGGTCGAGCCTGCAACATTCCATCATGAATGAGAGGATCAGGAGGTCCACACCTCCCTGGTCAGAGACTGTTGGCCGTAGATGGTTGGAGGAGTCATTTCCTGCAGTGGCATAGCCACTGGTAAGCTGCCCAGCAAATAACATCTTACTCGTGTTGGGGTAAGAAATAGCAATTAAACTCAGTAGGCCACACACAAAGAAAACCTGAAAGTAGAAAGGCTTTTGTTGAGAAGGGTTTCAGTGGCAGACAGGGGAGATAAGACAGGGAATGGGGAATAATTTTTTAAAAAAACTATTCATCTGGGCCTTTGCTCCAAATCATGGGGAAGAAAATACTTTTGGAATCAATACTGGGCATTTCAGCTTGACATGCAGCCTGAGAAGAGGATGGACAGGCAGCCTCAGGACTCACTACTTTCCTGCCAGTTCAGGACTGCAGCTTCAGAAGCACCAAGAAAAGCTCACAATGCTGCAGAACTGCTTAGAGTGCTAGTGGTTTCCTGCGACATCAAAGAGCTTTTCAGTTAAGAGCAGCTATGAGTTTGGCTACATGATGAAATCTTTACAGGTTCTCATTTGTTGTTTCCAGCAGATCAGAATTCTGTTATAGTCCAGATCTTTTCTTCCATCAATTTATAGCATGAGATACTTCATGAAGAGTTGCAGCCCTGTAGTAGAAGGTCTTCAAGAGGTTGCTGATTGGTTGGATTTGCACAGGGTACAGGCTGTTATTGTGCCAGGCAGACTCGAATTCACTGTTGATGGGAATGGCATTGTTTGGGATGAAGGTTTTGTCTTTGAAATAGATTTTGCTATGTTGTACAGGCTGACCAGGAACTTGTGATATTCCTGCCTCAGGTTCCCAAATGGTGGGTTTATAGGCTTATCCCACTGTGTTAACACGAGTGGTGTTTTGAGAACAGTTGTTGATGCCAAGTGTCGTGGGGTGGCTGTGTAGCTTAGGCGTGGGCATAGCCCAGAAGAAGGACAAGTTTGGAGACTGCTTAGTACATGGGACACATCTTGGTGTTTATCCACAGTGTGCACCAGTTATGACAGCAGTCTCTGCAGGGTGAGCCTACTTCCAGAGTAACATTTCCTGTGTTGGGTCCATAGCTTCCTCAAGTGAACACACTGCTTTGAAGCTGTCTGCACTGAGAGGTCATAGCTTTACATTTTGAAGACACATTGACTTGAAATGTTTATTTTATTGGAACAAGGTAAGAATTGTTCAAACACAAATGAGGTTCTGTGATAAATTCCGTATTACATTTTACTGGTTTTGTCCTGTATTTCTTATTTCTTCCCTTTGGGCCTTAATATGTTCTACTTTACATATGCTTTATTTCTTTCAAATTGGAAGTTTTATTTCATTGTAACATTATAAATGAAGGAAAACACAGTTTATATAGAAAAAGCAGAGGTGTGTGGTGACTTGGCCCCATTGCTGAGTGTTGTTGTGCTGCAGTTCGTTGATATTATGAGAGTGTAGGTTCTCTCACAGCCAGCTGATGGGAGGGGTGGGGGAGGCAGGACTGAGTTCTGATACCCGGTGCTGCTGCCAAAATGTAGCCTCTCTTGTCAGTGTAAACATCCTGTGTTGACAGGGCTACTATCCTGACTAGAGCAAGCAGGATGGTGATTATCACCCATGCTGCTGGTAGGCTTGGCTAGCTGCTGCTGCCTGTGCTGCTGGTTGCCCTTTTGAGGCATTTCTTGAACTAGAGACACAGCCCCCTCGTATTTTTGTGGGGTAATGTGAGCCATGGAGACAATTTGTCCTCTAGACCACTGTGTTCTTACATTTTCTGGATCATAGTTGAACAACTCCTGCTTTCGAACAGAGTGCTCCCTGTCTCTTTCCAGTCACTAAGATGTCAAGGTCCTTTTTGTAAACAGGGTTTCAGTCATGTACAAATTCTCAGTATCTTTTTTTTTTTTTTTTTTTTTGGAGTAGCCTCATTAAAGATACAAAATGATTAAAGCTTCATCCGATACCAAACCTTATTAAAGCTGTAGCAATTGCCAGAAAAGTACTATTGATAATTTTTATGCATTATGCTAAATTATTCTTATTAGAATAATTTTAAAAAGTTTGTATATATATATATATATATACATAAAGTTTAAAAAGTTTGTGTATATAGTATGTATATATGTATATATATGCATGTTGAAATATGCCTGGTCACAGGTGTGTGTGGGTATGTATGCCTGTGTACATGTGCATGTGAGATCATGTGTGTGTGTGTGTACGCGCGCACACACGTGCATCAAAGGAGGGGAGAATGGGAGGTGACCTGAGGTTGACTTAGGGAGTCTTCCTCCATTGTTCTCTGCCTGTTCACTGAAGCGTTGTATTTTGGTTAAACCCACAGCCAGTATGGCTAATCTAGCTAGCCTGCTTGATCTAGGGATCTCCTGTCTTTTTCCAAACTCTGTCATTACAGGTGGTCTGCCCACTCATTCAACAACCACTTGAGTCAAATGGGATCAAGCTCTGGTCCTCACACTTACAGGTAAAGTTCTTGTTTGTTCTGTTGAACTGTCTCCCCAGTCCATTACCAGACTCATATCTAAGTCCATCTTCTTTTCTTCTCCCAAGTATTATTAAAATTAATAAAGCTGCATATAATTTACCTGAAGTATGTGAAAGTATCTGTTAGTTTGTGTCCAAGGGGCACAAATGCTAGGGTTATAGGCATATGTTAGTTACCATGCTTGATTTTTATGCACTGTGTGGGGTCAAACCCTGGGCTTCATATGTGCTCGCTTGGTAAGCACTTTGCTCACTCAGCTGTATCCCCAGTTTGAAGATGCTTGTATTTTGCAGTGCTGTGGAGAGGTCTGATTTCATTTTGACTTAGAGCCCTTTGCAATGTAACATCTGTCTCCTACCGAGAGATTTCTCTTTGTCTTGGATCTTAGAACTTTATGATGAGGACTTTTTGCTTTTAAATTCATTGCACCAGGTTTTTCAAGCTTTTCAAGCTGGGGCTTGTTTCTTGTTGTCTTAGGGTTGCTTGAATTGTTCCTAGTTGTTCTGAGTAGAACTGCAAATACTCTCATAGTCACAAATCCTTTTGTCTACCCTTTCATTTTTAACCACAACTAAAAAGAAGATGACTAAAGCAAAAAGCTCTTGAAATTCTCTACTGACATTGGATTTTTTTTTTGTTTGTGCATAGCATCATCTAGCTATACCCACTTGTTCCATACGTTTTTTTCCCCAGGGAGCTTATATAAAAACTATTTCTTAAGAAGGATATGATAAAAATATGCAGGGAGAACCCTGGCTGACAGAGGAGCTCCTTGGTGGCCATGTAAGGAGAAGGCCAGAGAACCCCAGGTACATTCCCAGTGCTCATGGAGCCTGCTCCTTTACATCACATGAGGTTACGTCATGAAAAGATTGGAGCCTGGTACAAGGAAGCTGAGGAACTTGACAGTTAATATTATTGACACACCAAAAGTGCCTGACCCATGACCAGATCCTAGGCATCTAGACCTCTCTTGAATTTTCTCTGTCTTAAGAGAATGGTTTGCTTTTCTCTGGTGAAAAGCAGACCTGTGTACTATATTGGAATATTTCTTTTATGACTGAAAATACATTTATTTACTCTTGTTTATTATTTTCTGTGTAGTAAAAGATTATGGTTCCTGCAACAGATATATTTGTAGTATAGCCCAGGGACACAAATATTGAAAAAAAAAGCTGTGTGGATAATAGAGAGCTTTGTAAGCACTGGACAAATGCTCACATTTATGAGCAGTGGGCAAATAAGTACCAGCCTTCCCTTGTCTGCCTTGTTATAATACCTGGGTCTCTTTGCTAGTACAGTCCATGGCCATTATTGCAGTTGCATTTTGTGAGAAGTATGGAGACTGACTTATTTGTAAATGGCATGAAATGTAAAATACAGTTTTTACAAATACAGGCCTTGAGAATAAAAGCCAGATGTAATAGCCTTATGCAGAAAGGCAAACTGTTTCTTTGATGTGCACTGCTGTTTTTAAGGGAAAGCACTACCAAATATTTGAAGAAAGGCTAAAAAAAAGTTAGAAAGAACAGAAAGCAACTTGTGACTGGTCGTGAACATCTACATCCTGATTAAGTGGCCTTTTCTCTATTTCTGTAGAAAAATGAGTCTTGAATTCTAAGAGACCACCACAGGTATTTCTAAAAGAACATGAGCCTTCTTGTAGTTGCTGTCTACAAAAACTCAATACTTTAAGAATATATTTTAACTTTAAAGTGAATTTATTACTAAAAGTGAGGAAGACAAAGGAAAATCATTTATATTGCTGTATCATTTTACTTCTATTTGCATTTCATGTATTTATTTACTTGGGGGAGGCCATGCACATGGCTGTGTGGACATGCGTCAGAGGACAGATTGTGGTAGTGGGTTCTCTTCTTCCATCATATAAGTTCTGGGATTGAACTCAGGCTATTCAGTTTGGCAGCAAGTACCTGAACCCACAGAGTCATCTCACCAGCCCAGAATGTTTTTTGATGAATAAAGTATGTGAGAATTGATTTAAATTTTTTCCCTTCTGGATTATCAAGCTGTCCCAACCCCAATAATTGAGTAGCATGGACCTTGCTATAATTTTAGGCTGCTGCTTGTATTGGCTAATACACTCTTCTGTACTGTCCAGTCTCTAGGCTTTTAAAAATCTTGTTGCTCTTCCTTTGTTTCCTAATAATTGTCTTGTAATATTTAAATATTTTATAGAATACTTACTGTTGCTTCTTTCCCAACATTTTCATTTAGTTATCTTGTTTTTTATATATGATTTTATGACCATTTTTATGTAAAGTCTATCTTAGACTTTGATTGGCTTATATTAAATATGTGTTTTAACTTCAGAGCATACTTTATTTCAGTAATCAAATATACCCAAAGTCACTGATTTTTATTGAAAATTTTTAATTTACCAAATTTGACATTGTTTATCTGTCTTTGTTTGTTTTGATGGTGTACAGGTCAGTAACATCCATGTATACATATTTTACAATAGAATACATTACTGATTTTTGTTTTTACATGCATCTCTGGCTGACCCTAAAGTCACTGTGTTGCCAAGGATAAACTTGAGTTTCTGATTCTCCTGTCTCTACCTCCTGAATACTGGGATTATAGTCATGCAGCACTATACCTGGTTTATATGCTACTGGAGAGGAACCCTTGGATTTATGTATGCTGTTCAAGCTTATCAACTGAGTTACATTACTTTCAACCCAGCCTATATTACTGATTTTTGTATGGGTGTGTATATCCTTAAACTGGCATCAGTAATTCTTAGAAAATTCCTTTTTTAGTAGTTAAAATACATGTTTTGCTGTATATGTTAAGTTTCAGTTTGAGATAGGTATATATATTTTTTCAAGAATTTTTCCATTGCTGCTTTTTAAAAGTTTCCAAGGCTTTATATTGATGGTATATTCTATATTTGTATGTAGTACTTGATAACATGAATTGTTATTCTACAGATGTGTCTTAGAAGACAAACTTACACCTATGTGTTCTGTATCATGAACCTGCTGGCGATTCTCAGTCTGCATTGTGAACATATCTTGGGTTTCTTATAGCATGTGAAAGTTTAGTATCCCTGTACTTAGACTGTTTATTTTTTTGTGCATCTCTTTATTGATTCTCAGAACCAAGGGAATGGAGTAGGGTGCTGCTAGAATTTGGTACTTTGAGACAAGGGTGATTAGAGACAGGTGGACTCTTCTTGGGGCTGGATGTAGCATTGTTGTCTTCTGACTTCCATGTTGTTTTTATTTGTTCGCAGCATTGTTGTTCTTTCATTTATCTCGTCTTCTGTAAAGTACACAGAACAATTAGATTGTTAAGCCATGCTGGGTGTTTTCCTGATCAGGCCTTCTTACTGGTACTGTATAGGTGTTATCATTCTTGCTTTTCTGTCTAGAGGTCATAAATAGATGTCAGAAGGATTGGAGGGCCCATTTGTATAAATCTTGAACTGAAGAAGAAAGGGACTTTGATGTGGTATGTCCTTTACATATGCTGTGAATATTTGTTTCTATTATTGGTTGATGAATAAAGCTGTTTTGGCCAATGGACAGGCAGGATTCAGCCAGGCAGGAAATCCAAACGGGTTGGAAGAAAGTATTAGGTGGAGTTGAAGAGATGGCATGTCGCTGCTGAGGAAGCAAGAGGCTTGGGCATCACCGGTAAACCAAGACCACACGGAGATACACAGATTAATAGAAATGGATTAATAATTAATAGAGCTAGCCCATAAGAAGCCTGAGCAATAGGCCAAACAGTTTATAGTTAATACAAGCCCCTGTGTGTTTATTTGGGATTAAATGGCTGCAGGACTGGGTGGGACACAAACTTCCATCTACAGGACATAAACCAGTGATAGAAAGACAGAGTGTGCCAACAGATAGATGGGGAAGCCTCTTAGTAAACGTACTGCATAGAATCCTGAGTGTGTGCACATGGAAACAGTTATTTGATCTCCATATTAACCTTTTCAACTGTTGAGAGGTTATTACCTTTATCTTTTATAGACAGGAAATAGCAGTTTAGAAGTTTAGCTCACACAGTTGGTGGTAGGCTTGAACTTTGATTTCTCATTGCTACTTTTGTATCCTTTCCCTTGTCTTCCTTAGAGGTAGGAGGGTAAGAGAGCAGTGTCCATATCTAGGCCCTCTGGAAAAATTAGCTAGATGTAGCACTAGGAAAAATTAAAAATGTTTTTAATTCACTTATTTCCATTTAAAATAGATTTATTGAGGTAGTTTATATGCATTACAACTCACTGACTTAAATGCTCATGCATTGTGTGGCATCGCCATAGACAATTTTAGATCATGTTCATTACTCTAAAGGGAAGTTCTTTTAAGTAGTCACCCTCTTTTATTTACCCATTTTTACCTTGGCACCCTGCTGCCTACTTTTTGTCTATGTAGATTTACCTACTTTGTACATTTCATACAAATGTTACCAAATATTAGATGGTCCTTTGTAACTGGCTTCTTTCACTTAATATATTTTTCAAAGTTCATACTTTTTTGTTGATGAATATGGTTCAGGTAAATGGATATATACTATATTTATTACAAGTTGATATAGTTTTTGGTTGATTCTACTTTATGCTGTTATGGATAATGCACTATAAAAATTCATGAATAAAATTAGGGGCAGTGTTCACGAATAGGGCAGATATTTTAATTTGTTTTGGACATGTGTGTCCTAAAAGTTAAATTGCTGGGCCATATGGTAACTTGTCTCTTATCTTGAGGAAGAAGTTGACTATTTCAAAGCTGCGAATAATATCCCCACCACTAGTGTACAAAAGGGTTAGTTTCACCATGTCCTTATCGACACTTGTTTGTATATCTTCAGTTAGAAACATAAATGGTGCCTTAGGCTTTGGTGTGCACTTTCCTGAGGGCTGATGATTTTGAATAGCTATTTCTTATTGGGTACTTGTCTTTTTGTTATTGCATTGTGAGAAGTCTGTGTATTCTAGATACAGGGTCCTTGCTAGATGTGTGATTGGCAAACATTTTCTTCTATTTTGTTATTTTTCCCTCCCTCACTTCCTCATTTCCCCTGTTTTATTTCTTAGAGAAAATGTCTTACTATGTATAGCACATGCTGACCTTGAACTCATGATACCCTATCTCCCTTCTGAGTTCTGGGATTCAGGATCACCTCTCTCTCTCTCTCTCTCTCTCTCTCTCTCTCTCTCTCTCTCTCTCTCTCTCTCTCAGCAGGGAGCCTCTTCAGTTATTTTTTTCCCCTTCGTGTGTGTGTGTGTGTGTGAATGCTGGATGCCAAACCCAGGGCCTTGAATATGCTATGCAGGCACAGTCCTATGGAGCTACATGTTTAGCTTCTCTTTTCACTTTTATCATGGTGGCTTTGGAAACATGCACATACAAAATTATTTTGTTGATTTCCATTTTTTTATTTCTTAGTGTGAGGAAGGAATCTAGATTCATTTTTTTTTCATGAGGTTGTTCAGTAGTTCTGGCATTCACTGAAAAGTGTATTCTTGAGTTTGACCCCAACTAACAATCTAAGCAGTGGCTGAGAGGCTACCTTAAATGCCCTTCTCCCATAATGAGATTGATGACTACCTTATATGCCATCCTCGAGCCTTCATCCCGTACCTGATGGAAGCAGAGACAGACCCCCACAGCTAAACACTGAGCTGAACTCTGGAATCCAGTTGCAGAGAGGGAGGAGTGATGA